TATGCAAGTGCCAACTGGAGTAGAGCAGCAAACACCTAGAAAAGAAGAGGGCATTTCCTGTTGCTTGTATGCATGTAGGTGTTGTGGGAGCGACAAGTTGTCCACACCTAGGAGTGGATGAAGGCTAAGTCAAGGCGGCACATGAGCTCAAGAGAGGGGCTGGGTGTAGCCTAGCAGCATGGTTGCTAATAGCAAGGTGTATAGCCATATTTTAAAGACTCGCAGATATCTATTGAAACATTCCAATCATATTCCTTTGTTCCAAAAGATAACATAGGAAATCCTTTCCAAGCATTCCAATTCTTAAAAATATCCTTTAAAGTTCCTTCAATGCGAGCCCTTCGCGGAGCCAAATTTAGGCATGTTCAAGGAGCTTATGGTAGTCACAACTTCTTCTAGAATCTACATCTCTCCAAACAATGACAATATAAAAGTAAGAAATACGTGAGTGGTACCAAACGACTCTCCAACACGTGTCCTCGGCTCCACCATGCTACACCCCACGCTTGCTCGCCTTGCTAGTTTCAACTCTCCCATCTCTCTCTATTTACATGTTGATGGAGGGGGTGGTGGAAGGGATAAGGCTGGCTCATGGAGCCGTATGGTGTTGGGTCGGTCATGCTATTACCAATCTGGCTAGTCATGGGAGCTAGATAATGTTGTTGTATGTTTTTTTCTTCTTAACCAGAGATTGGGTTTTCGTCACCCATTGCCATTTTTCATCCTCATGCGCACAGTGGAAAAAACTAGACCAGACCGACGATCCAACCAGAAAAAATGGAAAAATTGTTATCCTCGGTTTGGTTTTTTCGTCACTCATCACCACTCATCGTCCTTGGACCTTAGCTTCTTTACTCCGACACCAGCATCGCCTATGGCTTTATCTCCATCTTGCCGCCTTGCACATCATCGGCTTGATCACCCGATCAAGTGCCTAGCTACAACGATGATTTCCTCAACTGGTCGTGTTCAAGAACGAGCGTCATCTGTCACTAAGCTTCAGGGTGCCTACCCATGGATCACACCCATTGTTTTGTCACTAAGATGTGCCCTTTTTAGCATGGCCTCACCGCTTGTGGACTTCTTGTCACTGCTTTTACATGGAACGTTGCTCGCCGTAGCTGTTTTGTTCTACTCGGACTTTAGTGTCACCACTCTCTTCATCTTGATCGCCGTTCACACGACATCCTCGTTGTCTGCATCGGTCTACATCACCCACTTGAGGTCTTCTTCACCTACTTCAAGTATCGCTGCCACATCTTCTTCTAACGGACATTGTTGCTACTTTAGCACGGTGGTCCAGTTGCCCTTGAATTAGCCACCGACATTGCGGTTTGGCTTTCTCATCATTTTTATCCCTGACTTTGGCTACATCGACCACGACTGCTTTACACAACTCGCTCAACCACAGCTTCTTCGTGCCCTTAGATTTGGGTACCTCGACAACATCACAAGGATTATCGTTATCGAGCACTCTCATTAGTTTATTCTCCAATGACATGGATTTGGTGCCCCACCCAAAAAGGAGACCCAACTCCTAATAACCCTGTTAAGTGATAATTCAATAGCATAATACTCCCTCTATTTCTAAATGTTTGACACCGTTGACTTTTTAACACGTGTTTGACCGTCGTCTTATTTAAAAAAATTTGTGAAATATGTAAAACTATATGTATACATGAAAGTATATTTAACAATAAATCAAATGATAGGAAAAGAATTAATAATTACTTAATTTTTTTAATAAGATGAATGGTCAAATATGTTTAAAAGAAATCAACAGCATCGAATATTTAGAAACGGTGGGAGTATCTTACTATACCATTCAAGGCTAGTGTGGTTGGAGTATAGTCTGGATGTACGGGCGAAGCTAAATACCTGAGCACGAGCACGTACATAACTCATAAGTGGTTTCGCAGGTTCGTTATTTGGAGTGAGCGAAGCATTTTTTTTTTCCGACCGAAATGAAAAAAATAAAAACAGCTTGCATGTGCTCGGCATAAATCAAATATAAATTAAACAACACTCGAATTATTATTCATTTTGAATAGCGGTGTTGATCGATCATTCCAGTAGGGAAGGGCGTGGATAGGGACCTGTCCGGCACGCCGGCCACGCTACACCCACCACCTCCCATGTCGCGATTTTATTTGATTCAAATCACGGGGATTAATTTAAAAAAGCACAAGGGGCAAAAGCACGCTTCTGCCCTCGCTAAACACGTGAACATGGACGGCCCAGATTTTCTGGCAGGTTTTAAATGATAAGATCGATCCCCAACTAGCACAGTAGTTTATCATTCCTGTCACTGCCTCGTGGGCCTCACCTGCCTTTCCTGCACGTGGCCCAACTCATCGATCGGGTCAACGGTCAAATCGGGCGGCTGGGTCACTTGCTGCTAGCGACGACGAGGCTAGAGTATTTATATAAGCAACCCAAATCGTTGTTATATCTACTCTCTGCAGCCACATTTATTAGCCCAGTAGTTACAGTGACCTGAGTAACACCTTAAAATCCTAATTTTAAGTGAATTTTAGATTGGATTATTTGGGAGCTAAATTCCGTACTTCATAGGCTAAGTTTTTAATTTAAAATTACTGTATATATCCAGTTGGATGTAGAGGCACACTTCTCTTAAAAAACTCTCTGCAACCACATGTGCTAAGCTAGCTTAATTAGCACTAATACCACTCTACTTACACATGCAAACATGTTTATATTAATACACCGTACTATTTATATACTCACTCCGTTCGTAAATATTTGACGCCGTTGACTTTTTAAAACATATTGGACCGTTTGTCTTATTTAAAAATTTAAGAAATTATTAATTATTTTTCTATCATTTGATTTATTGTTAAATATACTACTACTATTCAAGTTTTTGAATAATATTTACAAAAGTTTTAAATAAAATAAACGGTCAAACATGTTTGAAATGGCCAACAGGGTCAAACGGGAGGGAGGGTATAGTAGCACAACTTGTGTGTTACGGCCCTCGTGGACGCACATGTACAAATATCTTCATCATGCACGGGCACGATAAAAAAGGTGCTTACTAGGAACAATTTACTTATTTTTTATTCTTCCTTTTGCACACAAATTTTTCCCCCCAACTTGTCTAATGTACTTTGTTGGAAGATATACAATACATATGTATGGTATGAGTTAAATATGCGCCTAAATTTGCCCACGTCAGAATGTGGAATGGTGTAACTAATGACTTGTGATGGTGAAACAAATTAACAACCCCTATTAGATAATAGTACTAGTGTACTACAATGAAAATGAACTTTTACCACTCTTACATCGATCTCTTTAAGAGCATTTATGCGCCGTAATTCCTTTCCATCTTAGAGCAAGGAACAAGGATAATAGCGAGTTATAAGTCTACTATAATTTTACGTGAAGAAGGTATATAGAAAAAAAAAGGTTAGCTCTCATACAAGAGATAGTTCTAACACGTGCCCTAACACAAATACATTAAATGTATCATTGAGATAAAGACAAAGAGAAAAATTAAAGCTATAACCTTATAACTAATCTATTATATGTGTTGGTTTTAACTTTTAATATGGACTATTTTTTCCATTTCAAATTGATCATCATCTTACGTAGATGTACCAAGACCAAAGGAAGCTTCTCTCGTCCTATATTTACTCCAGTAACAAACTTGGTGTATGCATCATCCCCATTATTCTTAGATGCATAAATCAATATCCATTTACTCTAATGCACAAAAACGAATATACTTAATGAATGAATGCAAATATGATATCATTTAGAAATAACATCAATAAAATTATATGATGATCAATTTAAAACGGATGGAGTAACAGGTAGCAGTGAGTTATACTTATGAAACTTGCTCTTATGAAAATAACATTGCTGTCAGTCAATTGATCTTTTTTTTATGACAATAGTACAAAACTGCCCGCAAGTTAAGGAAGGGGAAAATAGCCTTAAGGCTTGAGTAACTCTTGATAATGATAGAATTCGTCTTAAACTTAACCATAGGACCGCATGAACCTTCTGGGAGAAGCACACGTGATTTTATATTTTTCTTCAAAGGAATACGATGTGATCCACAAAGTCCTAAAAAGATTTAGTAGTAGTATAAAACATTGTCAAAATTCGGATCGAGCGAAACATATGCTCCACCACTGCCTCCTAACATGTAATGTAAAATCTACAAAGATAAGGGATCGTAAAACACTTCCCACGAGAGGAAAGCAGGGAGAGAGAGCATGGTATGGAGGGGAGGACGCTGACATGTGGGATCGAGCGAGAGCGGAGGCTGATTACCCGGAGGGAGGTTACACAAACAGGAGATAGGAGGGTGGTTGCGGCGGCTAGGCGAGCGATCCCATAGGCCCAAGCCACCATGTGAGCGCACCGATGATCCGAAAATCGCTCTTTCAAATTCTATTTTTTAATATATATTTTTAGATTATCATTATTTTATAACTATTTTTACTATAAATTATACTAGATAAATTCATCCTAAAGATGTCAAAATCTTTTATAAATTTTTTTAAGATAATTATAAAAAAAATTTATTTAAAAAACCTTCTGTTTTTTTAAATAAAGGTCTATATATAAATTCACGATATACAAAATGCATGCAAACTTTCTATTTATAAACTTTATTATGTATAAATACTCGTTATTTCAGGGAGGCTGAAAAGAAAATTAGTATATACTGTACTTTATTATTTGCAGTATACAAATCGTGGAGGCTAATCACGGAATGATGCGCATATGCATGATTTGTGTGGAAACATGCATACCACACGTTGATAGCGAAAAATAGGAATTGCGGGCGATTTAACATGGTATGGCTAAAAAAAGGAAGATGAGTGAAGCGGTGATGGTGCGGCTGGCGGACGCGCGAATGATCGCTAATTAGGAGTGTAGACATAGGAGGAGTGATAATACCGAAAATACCCCTGGACACTAAATATGATTTGATTTGAGTGATTAGCCATGGGACCCATGTGGGTTTTGTTATCTCCTCTCCTCACCACCAAAAATCCATTCCACCCCATACCCATCCCCACCTTTCCTCTCCTCCTATTCTCTTCTTCTCTTGTAGGAGTCCTCTTCCAAATCAAATCAAATCTAGAAGAAGAAGAAATCGAGATCAAATCGATGAACCTTTGGACGGACGACAACGCGTCGATGATGGAGGCGTTCATGGCCTCCGCCGACCTCCCGGCCTTCCCGTGGGGGGCGGCCTCCACCCCGCCGCCGCCGCCGCCGCCGCCTCACCACCACCACCAACAGCAGCAGCAGCAGGTCCTGCCGCCGCCTGCAGCAGCTCCGGCGGCGGCGGCGTTCAACCAGGACACGCTGCAGCAGCGGCTGCAGTCGATCATCGAGGGGTCTCGGGAGACGTGGACGTACGCCATCTTCTGGCAGTCCTCCATCGACGTCTCCACCGGCGCCTCCCTCCTCGGCTGGGGCGACGGCTACTACAAGGGCTGCGACGACGACAAGCGCAAGCAGCGCTCCTCCACCCCCGCCGCCGCCGCCGAGCAGGAGCACCGCAAGCGCGTCCTCCGCGAGCTCAACTCCCTCATCGCCGGCGCAGGCGCCGCCCCCGACGAGGCCGTCGAGGAGGAGGTCACCGACACCGAGTGGTTCTTCCTCGTCTCCATGACCCAGTCCTTCCCCAACGGCCTCGGCCTCCCCGGCCAGGCCCTCTTCGCCGCCCAGCCCACCTGGATCGCCACCGGCTTGTCCTCCGCCCCCTGTGACCGCGCCAGGCAGGCCTACACCTTCGGCCTCCGCACCATGGTCTGCCTCCCCCTCGCCACCGGCGTCCTCGAGCTCGGCTCCACCGACGTCATCTTCCAGACCGGGGACAGCATCCCCAGGATCCGCGCCCTCTTCAACCTCAGCGCCGCCGCCGCCTCCTCCTGGCCCCCCCACCCCGACGCCGCCTCCGCCGATCCCTCCGTGCTCTGGCTCGCCGACGCGCCCCCCATGGACATGAAGGACTCCATCTCCGCCGCAGACATCTCCGTCTCCAAGCCACCACCCCCGCCGCCGCACCAGATCCAGCACTTCGAGAACGGGAGCACCAGCACGCTCACGGAGAATCCCAGCCCGTCGGTGCACGCGCCGACGCCCTCGCAGCCGGCCGCGCCGCCCCAGCGGCAGCAGCAGCAGCAGCAGAGCAGCCAGGCTCAGCAGGGCCCCTTCCGCCGGGAGCTCAACTTCTCCGACTTCGCGTCCAACGGCGGCGCCGCGGCCCCGCCTTTCTTCAAGCCCGAGACCGGCGAGATCCTAAACTTCGGCAACGACAGCAGCAGTGGCCGGAGGAATCCGTCGCCGGCGCCCCCGGCCGCCACCGCCAGCCTCACCACCGCGCCGGGGAGCCTGTTCTCGCAGCACACGCCGACGCTGACGGCGGCGGCGAACGACGCCAAGAGCAACAACCAGAAGAGGTCCATGGAGGCCACCTCCCGCGCCAGCAACACCAACAACCACCCGGCGGCGACGGCGAACGAGGGGATGCTGTCCTTCTCGTCGGCGCCGACGACGCGGCCGTCGACGGGGACGGGCGCCCCGGCCAAGTCGGAGTCGGACCACTCGGACCTGGAGGCGTCGGTGCGGGAGGTGGAGAGCAGCCGCGTGGTGGCGCCGCCGCCGGAGGCGGAGAAGCGGCCGCGGAAGCGCGGGCGGAAGCCGGCGAACGGGCGGGAGGAGCCGCTGAACCACGTGGAGGCGGAGCGGCAGCGGCGGGAGAAGCTCAACCAGCGCTTCTACGCGCTGCGCGCCGTGGTGCCCAACGTGTCCAAGATGGACAAGGCGTCGCTGCTGGGCGACGCCATCTCCTACATCAACGAGCTCCGGGGGAAGCTCACGGCGCTGGAGACGGACAAGGAGACGCTGCAGTCGCAGATGGAGTCGCTCAAGAAGGAGCGGGACGCGCGGCCGCCGGCGCCGTCGGGCGGCGGCGGAGACGGCGGGGCGCGGTGCCACGCGGTGGAGATCGAGGCCAAGATCCTTGGGCTGGAGGCCATGATCCGCGTGCAGTGCCACAAGCGGAACCACCCGGCGGCGCGGCTGATGACGGCGCTGCGGGAGCTGGACCTGGACGTGTACCATGCCAGCGTCTCCGTGGTCAAGGACCTCATGATCCAGCAGGTGGCCGTCAAGATGGCCAGCCGCGTCTACTCGCAGGACCAGCTCAACGCCGCGCTCTACACCCGCATCGCCGAGCCTGGCACCGCCGCCCGGTAACTCAACTCTAGCGAGGAAACCCAATCGATATACTCTCTACTCTCCCCAAGCCGGCGTAGCCATGGCCAGAGCTTCAGGAATGCCAAGAAGACGACGAGACGATGATCAAATCATGTTGTTGTTGTAAAATTAAGTTTAAAGATCTGTGTTAGGATGGATGGATGGATGGAGAGGATGATTGATATCAACTCGCAACTCAAGCTGAAGCTGCTGCTGCTGATCGTCGTCTTGTTTTTGATACTGATAGCAGCGGTTGGTATTTCTTTTCTTCCTTTCTTTGTTAGCAGGAAGGAAGGAAGGGAGGAAAGAAATCATCGGCGATATGTTGGTCCTTGTTAATTACTAAACCTAAATATGATAGACTTTGTATATAGGATTTGGTATTGTACCATCATCATGCCAATGAACAAGGGAGGAAGGAAGGAATACAACATGTTGTGGTGTTTTTGATCTCGTAAAAAAAATAAAAAATGCAATGGATATGCTCTTTTTTTGCTTGATCAATCAACTCTATTATCTCATCAGCACTTTAATGTTTAGCAACTGCAAGCAAGGAGATGAGGAGGAATGGTGGTTGGTTGGTTGGATGGATAGTTATTCATCCTGTTCATGTCCTGCCATAGCCCGTAATGATCCATCTCTTCTTCAACGGAGAGCAGCACGGAGAAGACGACCTGCACACACATGATGGGGACATGGTCTTGCAGCACATGTGAGTTGGGTGGGTAGATCTCGCCATCACAAACAGGCAGTAGCACAGTACGATTAGCGACCGAGGGAGAACTGAGAAGCAAGCAAAAAGCAAAGTAGGAGCTGCTCTTCTTGGCTTGGCAGCACAAAAACGAAACAGACCAAAACAAAGCTGGATGTGCGTGTGAATGATAGATCATCAAAGCTAGGTTTAGGGCACCCGCAATGGTTATCTATATGCTCTCTACAAGATACCCATGTCAGCATATTTTCCTATATGGAAGAGATTAAATGAAGAGAGAGAGCAAATCTATCTACTAACTTGAAGATAGTCTATAGAAAAACGAGGCAATGCATTAGATAGCTATAGATACCTATGTAGATATACTATTGAGGTGGTTTATTATTAATTTAATTTATTATTTAGGTATATATGTTTTATGGAAAGCACCTTAGTGATGAGAGATAAAATGAACGTTGACATGAAGGACATGGCAGGCCAGGACCAACCAACCAACCCACCTCATCCATCCATCCATCCATCCATCCAACAAAACAAAGCAAATCAAACGCAACAAGAGAGATACTGTACTAGTACAGCAAAATAATGATAATTGATTTTTTAATTTGGTCCGTGGGATGGGGCAGAAAAATGCGTGGGTGGCGTGCGGCTTTTGTTATCGCGCATGTGACTCGTGAACAAACGGGCCATCGGTGTCGACAAAAGTAAGTATCTGGCCCCAGCTCGCTCACTCATCACTATTCGCTCTAATCTCCACATGCGTTTCAACATGTCTTGCTCCAGTAGCTCCTTTTCTTATTTTTATTTTTTTATTAAAATTCTTTGCCTGTTGAATTCTCGTAAGCAAACAGCAAAGACTAGAAAACTCCTGTTGTTTATGCTTGTTTCGGGTTGATGATTACGCACGTTTTCGTTAACAGTAAAATTAAACAAGTAATTAATACTAATTCTCTCAAATAACAAGCACCAGTGGTCTAGTGGTAGAATAGTACCCTGCCACGGTACAGACCCGGGTTCGATTCCCGGCTGGTGCAAATTCGTCTTTTTTGCCACGATTTCAGTACAAGCTTCGCTCAATTATTGGTATGAGCATGTGACAATCAGCTAATCTTGTCTGCTTCCATCTCCAGAAAAGAAAGCCGCCATCAATTTGGCACCCACTGTTGATGCCAGACTGATATCTTTGTAAAGAATGACGGTTAGTGTATTAAAATCCTATAAATTCGTTTAGACTTTTTGGATTAGCATTTCAGCATGACATTGACTGGTACCCCTAAATGTCAACCGACAACCGGCACAATTTGATTAAGCATCCATCAATTCATTTCTCTTCTAAAAAGGAGAAGGCAAACCGCACCCAAAATGAATCGATACACATTTTCAGCTTGCATATTCTATGGACAGGTATGTTACAGTGTAAAAAAAAACAAAACAACAATATGCTTTACATTCTCAAGAAACTAGCATGAACTCGACCTCTATGTAATGGAAAACTGTACAGGCTATGTACTGGCACTGCAACGCAGGCCTCCTGCCCCAAGTTGCGAGTAATGTATGGGTGAAACTGTATTTTGCTGTTGTAGCAAGTCCCCTTTGTGGCGCTCTGGCCTGTGTGCGAAATTGCTAGGCCAACCAAGCCAAAGAATAAAACTTGAAATGATCACACCGCTAATGATCTGAGCTTAACGTGGTTCATTTCGCACGCTATGAATGCTGATAAGAATGCCGCCCACTGGGATTTGCAGGAGCCGATGGTAGCGCTGGAGCTGTAGAAGGTAGCCGGACCAAGGCAGGCTGAGGTGGTGGTGCAGTAAGGGCGTAGGTCAGTCTTGACGATGAGCTCTCAATGAGCCCTGCAACTCCAGCAGCAGAAGACTGTGCATTGGATGGGAGGAATAAATCGTGCTTCTGGTCCTTGTAAGCACTCCATACCTAAGAAAGAACACATTGTTATTTTACTCACGTCTAGTGCTCATTTTCATTTAGTGCTGTTACTTCTAATGATCCCAACTTCGAATATGAACTACGGAGTACTCGAGATGGATGAACTCATCAGTAAGTTACTTACATCAGAAGAATTCAGAATTTCACGAACTTTAGCACAGTGTGCGCCTTCCGTTGCAAAAGCATGAAGCACCTGCATAATTTAAGAAAAAAAAATATAAAACAAGGGGCCAGCAGACGTACAAGCAGAAGAGGCCAAATCAAACTACCAAAACACATCATTTAACCACAATGAGATAAAACAATTGCATCCTCTTTTAACCATTCATCAAAATATCATATCTATGCCCTGAAAACCCTTGTTTTTTCATTCTAAATTTAATTTATGAAATTATTTCTCAAACGCTTCATGCATTTTCAGGTTTTCAATCTTTCAGGGCTAGTGTAAACTCCTGGTTTAGTTTGATGGATACAAGTCAGTCCATCTAGGTACTGAAAACAAGCATAAAAGGATGACTGGTTCTTAGTTAAGGACACTTCCTAACTTATGGCTATCATCTGCCTAAATAACATATATGATCAATTCAACTTTGTTTTGATTGCACCAAGCTGATGCGGAAGTCCCATGATAACTGAGAAAAATGGCTTAAGACGGTGCTTACCTCCACTGCCAAAACACGCCCAATTGAAGCCTCTGATTCATTCCACTTCATTTGGTTACACAGTCCCTGCCTGCCACCAGCTCGCCAATCAAGAATACCAAGCAGTACTTCAACAAGGCCAACCCTGTTTTCAATCATAGTTGATGAATATGTGTTAATTTTTTGCAAGACACATGATTCCATGCAAAAACTAGGATGAATGAACGTAAGCCTTGTTATCATTTGTTTTGCCTCAGAAGGACTGAACACATCAGATATGCTGATTTAATTTAAACAAAAGATTACTAGCTTTTCCATTTTCACTCAGCAGAAATAAAAAGAGATTCAGTACAATAGAATTTCTTTGGTCATGTTAGAAGTACAGAAACCTTTTTTTTTTTGGAGAGATCCTACATAGTGCCAAAATTTTCGTGTTAAAATCAAACAACATTGATTCCTTAAGTTATCCCTACATATGTATGATTTGAACAGCTTACTTTAGCCCCTGTGCAACAAGTGCATCTCTAGCCCGATTGCCAGCACCAACAACACGCTTTAGTGTCTCTAGTGCCAGTATACTTCCACCTTGCCATCCAATTGCTTTCATAAGCAATGGAACAACCTGCAAACAGTTGAAGCAAGAAAATATTTAGGTAGGTCTTTATATGCCATTCATGAAATAATGTGCTATGCGTCAATTGGATAGGACTTCATTTTTGGTTTCTCCTCCAATCAATTGTGAGAAAAGAGAAGTAACAAGTTATTGGAAGTCAATATTCAAAAGACCTTGACTAATAAAGACATTGAAATAGAGCCAACATGACTATTCAAAGTTGTAGGTTTTGCACTAAATCAATAAATCATTCAAGAAATGGAATCTTCTCAGGCCAAAACATTTGAACACTACAGGGCCAAATGTAATAATTACATTGCCATGAATGCATTCTAGATGACCAGGTTCACACTAAACTTAAGTGCCATCATGTCACTAAAAACTGTACTAAGTCAAACCACAAACCATACTGTTGGATAAGCAAAGAAATTAGTGTGTAAAAAAAAAATCAATACGCAAGTACCAAGAAAATTAAAACAGAAAAAACAAGGGTTGCAATTCAATACCTGAGGAGTTCCTGCACTTGTGGCTGCCATAGCTTCTGCACAAGTAGTGCTGGAAGCCAGCTGATGCAGCACTCGCAAACAACTAAGCCGGACACGTTCTTGTGGAGTCTGCACGGTAGAGTCCGCCGAGTTCTCTTGATTGCTAGGTTCCGCTTGCAACCTACTTGTGGTTTGTCCGGATGCCATAGTGTCCCGTCTACCCTCATATGCCATAGCTGAAACCAGCTTTGGAACATAACCTAGGTAACCAACATGGTCTGCAAGGGCTGGATGAACACGCAACAATGAAACCAATGCAGCAGAAAGCAGCAACGGAAGCTCTGGATCAACAGCATTCGCCTCATAGTGTGTGGCAGCAACTGATGAGACATACTGATCTAGCAGCCCTTCTAGGAACCTTTTAGGGTTTCTCAATGGAAACTTGGGATCCTTTAGGAAGAGTCTCACATAAATACCTCCAACCTGAAATTTGCACAGCATGAGAACATATAGCCCAATTTCAGGAAATGAAAATAATAGGATGATTCTAGACTAAACACTACCTGTGGCTCATCCTTCATTACATGCTGGCCAGATGCTTGTTCAGGCACATCCCAATCAACAACACGCCCTTTCATCTGCTCTTGGTAGAGGTCTGTGGCCATGGTTGACAACTGCGCAGAAAGAGAAGCTGCCATTGCGGGTGTCCATACAAGTTCAGGGGTTTCTGTGGTCTGTTCAAGACATGAAACAACAGCTTCACCAGGCCCATCTCTAATTGCAGAAACCAAACCATCAGGTAAGAATCTAGCAAGTGTGATTGCCACCCTGGGACCATGCATTGGCTGCCCAACAAGTTTGCCCAATAATGATGCAGCTGCAGCTCTTTGCTGCATAGGGATTTCCTCTACACAACATAAAAAAAAGTAAGTAATATGTTGCAAAGAAGTAGATCTAAAGTATTGGGAGTAAGTTAAAACATGAAATGATGAATACAAGTGAAAAGCAGTAAAAACAAAGCAACTCTGTCGAATGTTCAGAAACTTTACTGGAATTGAGTCTGGCAATGTAAACATGAGAAGTTTTTTGGATTTTTTTAAAAATGGAATAATTAGAGGAGAAATTATGCATAAAAGCATCAGCTTGTAAAGAATGCTAGAAACATGTAAAAACATTAAGTGTTTGAAATAATGACAATAAGCAGATCATCAGCTCATAGACTCAAAATCTCATATGAAACAAAACACGCTAAAGTAAATATTATCACCTTCAAGTGGTAACATAAGTTCTAGAATGTACACTACACCACCATGCTTGGCAGCAGCCCAGGCCAGCTCCGGTGTGCTGGCTAAAGAATAGAGGACAGTAAGGGCTCCATCCCTGCAAGAACGATTGCAGTGCAGTATCTGGAAAAGCAAAATGAGACTTGTTCTTTCTGCAACCATGGCTTCCAAACAAGGCGCATGCTTCGTCAGGAGAGAAAGAACGCTTAGGCAAATTTGTGGGATGTTGCTTTCAGGAGGAACAGGTAGCGCAAGACATTCAAAAAGAGGTGTCAACCGTTCCTTGGAAGCAAAAACAGCAGCCAATCCTGGATTACTGGTTAGAAGATTCTGCAGTAAAAAAATAAAATGCATTTTAAAATGTGCCTCATAGGTATAACACATAAAACTTACAAAACTTCTCCTGAAATGGTACCTGTAGTGATGTTAGCCCACTTCGGAGGTTCATAATCACTTCAGAATCTCCATCTGTTACTCCTCTATTGTGTTTTTCCAATGAATCTTCTTCTTTTCCTTCATTCGTTGAACCACTGATATCACCATTTTCAGTGACTGATGTCTCAATAGCTGTACCACATTGATGCATCATATTTTCATCCAAACTTAATGAATTCCACTTCTGTACTAGCTCTGCTATAAATTTAAGCAGCGCGATGCAAAAACCTTCCTGGTCACTTATTTCATAATCTGGTTGGTTGTTGTAAACTCTCAAGTACACATTACCAACATTCAGTTCTTTTGATAAAGCTTGGTATGTGAAACAATGTGATTCCGTCAAATCATATGAACCATCAGGTCCTTGGCTAGCACGCTGCTGGTCTACAAATTTGAGGAGCTCGCCTCTGGTGGAAGAATTCCATATGATCTGCAACAAGGAGAGTTATTAAGCTAAACATCACATGCATACATTCATCTAATAGTATTATATTATTGTTAGATAAAAGTGGTGTTGCATACAGAACTTATAATTATAATTTCTCATTGTCACATACAATAAAATAGTACTAGATTATTGTGAAATATTACCTCCGCCCCAAAATATAAGGAGTTTTAAGGTTGGACACAGTTATTAAGAAAGTTGGTGGAATTGAATGGAGGAAGGTTGTGATTGGTTGAGAAAAGAAGGTAGGTAGAGAATTTGAATGGTGGAAAGTTGTGATTGGTTGAAACGAGAACGTAGGTGGAGAAGTTATATTTTGGGAAAATTTTTGAAAGCTAGAAGTAGTTATATTTTGGGACAGAGGGAGTAACTACATTGAGCAGAAGGAGAAGAACTTATAGTTGCCCCATATAAAGCAAATATTGATGAAGCAACTTATAATCAAGAACATGATAAATATTGATGAAGCAAATTGTATGGATAAATGAATTAGTCGGTCTTATGTTCATTTCACAAAGAGAAAAACAAGAGTGCCATGCCCAGTCAGGAGTAATCTGAGAATGTGTATTCAACTATCATCGCTACGATTTTTAGCATGTCGAAAAAAAATCCACTCTAATGATAATTCCCTAAATTGAGCTTAACACGCTCTTGCATGTGTTTGTCTGCACATAACAATCACAGATGATGCAGGTTATGGTGAGGAACAAAATGCAAAAATTTCAAAGATATACTAATGACAATGATCATTGGATTGATGGAACACTCCAGGCATGTAATACAAATGAAATTTAATCTATTACCTCTGGTGACTCCAAATTTGCATTCAGATTTGACAACAGTTCTTTAGGTGGGTGGTTTCTCAGCATATCAGCAAGCTTCGGAGTAAGAAGCGCTCTTAGTGCATCAAAAGCAGATTGATTAGATGGGCTTATTCCATCACCACCAAGACCACAAAGCCTTGACAGAGCCTGAGTTGCATGTACAGCATGCAGATTTTTAGCAATCTGCACCCTTGCACCAACACCATGTGCTTCACTTGTTGCATTCTCTTCTGCTGTTGAATCGTACTGAAGCAATAGAGGCAACACATACCTGCGAGTAAATCTTAATTAGATATATCATTCACATAACTTGGGATTTCAGTATGCCATTCCCTAATCTATCTATCCAGATTAATAATAGTAATTGCAATTAGGATAGCAAGGCATTACCATAAAAATCCAGCCGCGAGCAGAGAACTTTGCAATTCTGATGACACTGATATATTAGCAGCTGTTTGCAGTGCAGCATCCACAGCCGATGGAACAAATTCAAGTTCTGTACTGTGCACAATATCCTCAACAAGGCCACCAAACTTAAGAATCTCAGCCCTTCCTGACTCAAACTGGCTGAGAACCGCAAATGTATGCATTATGTTGGTGACTATTCTTGCTGCCGGTTCATTTGCTGGGGTTGTGGGCTGAACAATGCACATGCAACGAGAAAGAAGTGTTGCCAACAATGGGATACCACCATCCCGTATGAGCTCTTCGCCATTTAATGAAGATGATGCGCATCTAACAAAGCATGAAGCACATAATCCAGTTGATATTCAATCAAAGTAAACATTATCTTAAAAAAACATAGGTAAAGTCAGTTTGTCTTCACTTACGTCAGCCAAATTAGCTCTGAAGCAGCTATCAAAAGAGGGGCTCTCTCAGATGAAAGAAAATTGCTATCATCCTTATCTACAGTGACTGCATTTAGCAACATTGGATAACCAGCATACTTGAATGGTTCCAAGACATGTCCATATCTCTTGTACAAGATGCACTGTGCCCTGAGTAAGAGTAGCAGCCTCCAAACTTGTGGTCCCTGCAGTCCCTGCATACTTGCCTGCATGTAGATAATATATTTAGTGATTACCCAGCAGTGTAAAACCATATGTTAAAAGGGTGCATTGAAAAGAAAAAAAAAACTTAAGGGACTCTCCTTTTTCACATAAAAACCAAGAGTTCCAACTGCATTCATTTGTAGTTAAGCTTAGCTAATCAATAAGATAATTCAACTTTAACTAAAAAAATGAGTATGTGAAAGATTGCAGGATATCATCCGAGGAAGAAATGAGTATACCTGCAATCGTTCGTAAGCCTTTTGCACAGCAACAAACTTTTCTCTTCCCTCAGGATTCTTATCTGGATGGTATTTTATTGCCAGCTTACGGTATTGGCGCTTAAGCTTCTCTTCGTCAATGTTTTCAATGTTGTTTGTCAAATTGCCCGAACTTAACTCAGATGACTGCTTGCTACTGCCGTTCTCACCAAGGACAAGATCATCAAGAGAGATCTCCAGTATCTTACAAGCATCTTCTTCAGATAGATCCATTGGACGACGAGTTAACTCTTCACGCCACATTGCCAACAATGACTGCAAAAACTCTACATGTTCAACAATGGGCCAGTTAGGAAACCTAATCTCGTCACATAGGTTCCGGAGGTAGTATCGGTGGCACCACATCTCATCTTTCAGATTCGGGTAGGTCACAGGTGGCATAGGAGCATAATCATACAATGAATGACAATGTTGAGCCAATTTCTGAGGAAAGTCACCGAGATGCTGCAGGACCTGAGAAAGCCAGTCGTATGGACAGAACAATTTGAAAATTAGATTAAAAACTCATGATCTCAAAGTAAACATTTTAACAAATAACTAGGGTGGTAAATACCTGACGAATTAGATGCTCCGCCCGCATCTTGTGGGTCCATATAATCTCTGGCGTGTCAGAATCAGACACCATTGCGGCAGCAAAAGCTGAAGGTCCACTGCGTTCTAAGACATACAACAATGATTCTGGGAGCAGTCCACCTAGTACACTGCGCTTTGCCAAAGGCAATGATGAAGATACTGCTGCCTCTTCACCACCATGAAATGCCTGATGAGTATGTGTGGCTGAAAAGAGTTGTGCGATCGATAGGAGATTTGAACCGGGATATGCCAATGCAAAGTAAAAGGCACCGGTACTATATAGTCGAATCATAGCTTTGGGGTTTCTTGTGACAATAGCCTTAAGTAATGAGGCAGCTGCTTCAACAATGCTTGGTTCCCCAGTAAGCATAGCCTATACCATTTCAAATTTATCATTTCCTGTCAGTGTTCGATAATAGAAGTAGACAAAAATAAAACTATCCAAAAGCAAGAAAGAAATAATATGAAAGAATGAACAGAACATTGAGGAGTTAAAGCATGAAATTTATACATGTAAGAACAGCTTGTCGAGAATATAACCAAGTCTCCTTGGGACTATTGGTTGTCTGGCAGTGCCAATGAACTATAATTTATTGTTTGACTGCAAATTTGTAAATTCTGTAAATTACAATATATATACACACACTATAGGAGACTGTCCTACAGTAATTTTCCAAAAAAAAAAAAAGGAGCTATAATTTTCAGCACTGTTGTATTAAGGAAAGATACTTCATCAGCATATCTTAATTGTTGCATTATGCTTAACATCCATGCTTCTAACCATAGCCTAAGCTATCAGTTGTAAATTAAGGGTATGAAAGCTCTTCTTATACACATGGCCAAATAATAATATAGCTAGGTCATCATACACAAACTAGTCCCCGCATGATAGGGGAAGCAAATTTGGAACTAAGTACCTGAGCAACATGAGGAAGGCATCTTGGACTTGACAATATACGTTTCACCCTAGGAGTTGGTGTCACTATCTCTCCTGCATCATCAAGATCAGAATGTGCAGATGCCATACTGTGTAATATAGACAATGCAGCATCCCCAATCTGTAAATAGAAATACATTTTGCATAAGTGTTAATTGATGAGTAAAATAAAATTGTCGTGCATGTTTGCATGTCGGTTTGATACCAGGCTGTAGATTCAATACCTGACTAGGAGTAAGAACAGGCACTTTAACAGCAAGTGCCCAACGGAGTTCCCGGATATCACGTAATCTTTTCCAGTCAGACATACCAGAAGCCCAACATTTGGTGGTCCAATCAATTGACTTCTTTGACCATAGCCTTCTGATAGCATCCTTTTCTAGAGGGCCAACTTGTTTACCGTCTTTGTCAATATACATCCACTCTTTCAGAGGTTCCATAAATGCAGTTGCCGCGATCAGGTTAGACTGCAAAGGAATAGCTGTCCGCTCAGATGCTTCATGAGCGACAGTTAACATATCAACAGCCAAAACACATCCTCCAACCAAAACACACACTTCAACATTTGAAAGGTCGTTCATCAAGGCCTACAAAAACATGAAGAAACTTACTCAGGCAGATTTCTCAGAAAAAAAGTATGTTAGGTCAGCAAAATCATATTAGTTTTTTATAGTAGTCTGAAGTCATGAACATGTTCTAGAGCTATATCATCGCGTTTATGAATTCTGGACTTCTGGTGTACGTGCAGCAAAGTCCACATGAATAGAACTTGTCGACATTCCCATATCTAGTATACTTATGCCCATCTTATTTGCTGATACAAAAGAAAATGGGAGAAGTGCAAAGAGGTAATTCAGCTAGAGTACAACCAACCTTTAACAGTAGTAGCAAGCGATGTCTTAATGCCCTATCATCTGTTCTGTCCAAGAGAACAGTAATATGTGCTGTGCCATCGAAAGGTCCAATAACTTTGTTATGTTGTTCATAAACTATAGCCATTGCCCTTGAACAAAGTTCTCTTACAGAAGAACCTCCTCCCCCACCAAAACCATCCAATCTTCCCAAGTCACACCAATCATCAGATGAACCCAGTTCATCAGGGACTGCACCATCCACAGTAAGACCAATGTCTGCATCGCACAAGAAGCGGTGATACAGAGCTCTAAAAAAGGCAACAGGATCACGCAGTGGGAAATCCTGTGCTCGGTAATTGCTTCCACTTTCAAGAAGAAGCCGCAGATAGTATTGGCCCACACAGACTTCTTTGGACAAGCTAGGGTAGCTAACTGAAAACTCAACATAATTCCATGAAATTCGTGGTAAGGTTTCACTATCACTGGCATCCTCAGTGACTGAACTTCCAGGGACAATGTCATCAGTTCGTTCTTTCTCAACATCAAGGCTATGAACTTCAGCTTGCAATGCCTCCCTTAATTCTTGTCTAGTGCGTTCATTCCATATCAAGTCTGCTCTATTGTGATCAAGACTGAATGCTCTCCAAAATCCATACCAGTTGCACAGTAGCCTGCCAGATCCAACAGGTGTGTTTTCCACCACAACCTGTGCAGGGACTGAAAAATCTAAATGTGCAGAGTTAGCAAGGTCACCATTGCCATTGGAGTCCACTAAATAAGCATGTGAATCCAGCTGTGGTGCCCCAGTTTGATGATTATTTTCATAGAAGGCCTCAGGTACAAAACCATGTGGAACTGCCTGAGAAGGATCAATACTTATGCCTGGAGAAGGGGTATATGCAGTAGGGTACTGATTAGCATGCCTCTGATGGACATCTGCTCCAAAGGGACCAACATTGGTGTGCCCAAAAAAATCCCCTTCATTGTTATTTGAGGGCATCCCTTGTTCTGGTACAGCCATACTCTTGCCACCACGGGACCTCCTCTGCTGAAGTATCCGTTTCTGCCTTCTGCTTAATGGTACTTCATCATACTGGTTCTGAGAATCTTCATCTGATCGTGTGTGAAGATAAGCAACAAGTCCAGGGGGAAGTATTCTTGACAGCAAATCCAGTGCAGGTTGATAAGAATCAGCCCAGAGAGCAACAAGCTGTCGACTAACATCACGTCGCTCACCAGCAGGGTAGAAGAAAGCATTCAGTAAATGCCTCAGAAGAGCACCATCCTTCAAGGCAGCATCACGCATGGACTCTGCTGCTATTGCATCTTCTTCAGCAATTGTACGCATAATAACAGAAACAGTCTCCCTCACACTTTCAGCAGGATGGGCAAATAATGCAAACAAACGACGGCGCAAACCAGCGACTTGACGTAGTAGCTCAACAAATGTAGCATGTTGGGTTGTTTCACCATGGGGTTCACAAAGCATAGCTTCAAGGACTTCCACAATGGACAATGACAGTAATGGTGAAACTGATAGTGGCCTTAATCTGTTAACAAGGATTGGAACATAGACTGGTTGTGAGAACAGTACAGACTTTGCATGCATGTAAGTAGCATGTGACTCTCCCCTTGTATCCGTTAACATGGATGTATCACCAGGACCACCACCAATTAGCATAGCCACAAGTCCAGCAGCCTCAGCTGCTACTCCCTCTGAACCATTTCTAAGCAAACCCATTATTCTCCCTACAGCCACAGGAAATGCCATCACGTGTGCTGACACACTTCTTGATGTGAGGAGCCTCCGTAAGCATGCGACAAATCCCATTATTGTCGCTGCTGCTTTTGGTGATGGAGGTGGAAGAGGAGGAGCATCAGCAGGAAGGTTCTGCGGTGTAGCTGGGAGAAGACTAATTAGAGCCATTAGGACCACTTCAGGTACTTCAATATTGACGGGCACTCCAGTATAGGGTATGCATGCATTGAACTCCCTTATTCTACGCCACAATCTGATTTTTGCTCCAGGAACAGTGTCGGATGAAACTACAGCCTCTTTAGCAACAGTAGCTAAATGTTTTATGTGCATGCTAGCAGCTTCCATATCAACAGTGTGATGGGATATGTGAACACGGGCTACTCCACAGGGTGGATCTATGCGATGACCAGGCATGGTCAACCTTGGTAGCACTGGAATGGCACACTGGCTCTGAGTAAGGAGATTAAAAAAGAATGTGAGGTGCCAATGTGAGCATGGTAATGGTAGCAAACAAATGCAAGATGAGCATGGCCTAATAAGTAAGCAAGGTGAATATTTTGCTATCAAGAAGTCATTATGGTCGCAGTCTTCAGAGCAGCTTTGCTCAAGTACAATTCTGAGTCAGTATACAATCCCCTAAAAGAAACTAAGAAACAGTTATACAATTACATATTACATATAGGAAATAGCAGGATTAAATAAGCACTCATTACAAAGGGGACATATATGGTGTTTATCTCATTACACTGTTCAGTAAATTTCTGGCTTTGACAAATTAGATGTGTCATGTAAATTGTACTCTTACATACAACTTCTGAGGTGTAACTGAAATTGTCGAACAGAAACTATGACTTAAATGCTGACCGGAATATGTGCCTTCATCTTCTATTTTTTAAAAAAGTGCATCACTAAATCCATGGTGAAGTACAAATAAGACAGTCATGCTCGCCACACACCATAAATTTGAGCATTAAAATACATCAAGGTGGACCTCAGTCATTTTGTATCTTTGCAATTCCATATTGAACTCAAGTGATATAAACTGACTAAGATCGAAGTCATACCTGGTTTTGTAAAACATCAAGAACTGTTGCAAGTAAACTATCACGGGATGTACTTGCATATACCTGAGTGAGGAAACAGCCAAGAATTAGGAGGCATTCGTGGTATTGTGCATAGAGACTATGCATGCATACTTACATGAATCGGGCAACCATCATTGAATTCGAATGCAAACATCTGCGGTTCTTCTGCAAATCGCACAAGGGCACTTACTGTTGAGAGAGGTCGAACAATGATAGCCTGAAAAGAAAATATTCAGAGCAAAGAAGTTAGAACCCTAACATGCTAAAGATAAAGGGAGCAAGGAAGGAGAAGCGGTCTTGCAAAAGAAACTCCAGAGGAGACAACCATGTAGAGGGTGCAACAAAAGACTTACCCATGGCCCATGGGCCTCATCCCTTGAAACTACAATTACTAGTAAGTTGATTTGGCAAGGGGTGTAGAAAGTTGATGCATGTTCATATGTAATCGAAATTTTACGAATAGTTTGTATGAGAACAGGTGAAAAGAAGCCAACATCTACCTCATAATTCTCCGGTCGTCTTTCGACAAGTGAAGTGTTTGTAAGAACAAGCTGTCGAGAAACGGAATCACCATGATCTCCAAGTCCCCCCCTTGGTCCAATACCCAAGCTCAAGCTCTCAATGCTAGCAGTGCCATGTGCAGCAGGACGCAATCTTGTTACTGACCATTCTCCATGCCGAGTTTCAGCAGCTCCAACAGCCTCGTTTGCTGGGAAAAGAAGTTACACCAGTTTAAGTTTCTGCTCCCTTTAGCGCAATAGATACGGGATTATGGAGCTCATACATGACATATACATGGAATTCATTGACAGTTGAAGGTGACATTTCATACTGAGTCAGTTCGTAATGATTTGGAACCATAACCCCAGTTAAGGTGTTGCCTAGCATCAAAATCATATGAATGGCAAGGTGCCATACGAAGATGATGCACGACAGTCACATAAATAGGTGTAGAAAAATGGTAGCACCAAGGTGAAGCTTATCGTTGCAAGAGATTCAAAGCCTACCTCTCTTTGCTATGAAGTCAGTAGCTGTCATTGACTGTGAATTGTCCACATGTAGTGATACTCCAACCATCGAGTTGGCTGTTTTTGTCTGTAAGATAACCGGCATTAGGATGTTACATCAATATGTGTAATCTGCATATCATGTAGAAAGGAATGGAACGATTGGACAATGGGATGACAGAAGGGTGTACCAAATATGATATAATCAGAGTGTTTGTACTGCCTGAAGCAGCCATAAATGCTTTGGACTTCCTCCCATAAAGGGGGCATAGCACAAAACCTCCTCCTTCAGCAGTCCTCTTCCCATAGCTATCCCCCAAGAGAATGATAGCAGGAGAATCCATATCTCTAAAGTCCAAGCACCAGCGCAGATCACCAGAATGTCCTTCAAGGAGCTCAATGCCCACTGAAGTAACCTTGAGTTTCTATAGAGAGTAGATCAAAACCAGGAACCAAGAATCAGAAACCAACAACTGGTGATTAAACAACAGTATATTCCTTTGAAACAGCTTTGAGTGAGTACATTTCATTGGAGATATGCTGAAAGTAGCTATCTCATCTAACTATGCATCAAGTTAATAAATTGTTGGCTGCAGATTTCAAATATTTCTAGTTTTCTACCAGCTAGTTATAGAACTCAGTTTTAATTAATAGGTGTTGCAGCACCTGATTCCGAAAAAAAAGGTGCCATAGATAAGACTATAACAAACCAGGAAAGGAAGATTATTGTAAAGGCACATTGCTTTGTTTCTAATAGTAGTCCAATTGGTAGCATGTTAACCAAATTTGGTGCTGTGACAGTATACAGCGATTTGTAACACAAGGACATATCATAAGCAACCAATTTGGGCATAAGCTTAAGGCTTCAGTTCAGAGCGATGAAACCGCTCTGTTTGCCATTCCACTTTGTTTCACTAATTAGCCAGTTCAGCTACATGAGGTAGCCTTTAATTATAATAAATATGAGGATAATGCAGTTAATAGCACTGCTGTGGATCCGAAAACTAGAGAGAGGATTGGGCTCTCTGAAGCATGAATCATTCAGCGCAGAGTGTGATGCAGAAATATTTGTAAGGGATTGAACCTTGCATTGCAATAGTAGTGCAAATAATACACAAGACAGCAGAGGTGAGAGTACGAAGGAAGATCAGATTTGGGATAAGACGATGGAGGAGAGCTTACGAAGGGCGCCCACTCGTGGGTGCGGCGGCGGAGGTGGAGGACGGGGAAGTCGAGGACGGGGTGGACGGGGCGCAGGCGGTGGAGCTCGGTGAGGATCCCGGCACGGAGCGGCGAGGAGAAGCGCAGGGCCTTGAACTTGCCGCGGGCGTCGGTGCGGAGGGTGAGCGTGAACTCGGTGGCGTTGCCCTCGGGCGCGGCGCGGTCGAAGCCGTAGGAGGCGTCGTAGGAGTTGGTGACGGCGAGGGTGGCCGGGTCGAGGGTGACGAGGCCGGAGGAGGCGATGCAGAGGATCCGCCTGTACCTGCCCCTCCACGAGTGCTTGACGACGAAGTACCTGGCGAGGTACTCGGGCTCCTCGGCGGCGGCGGAGGAGGAGGAGGAGGCAGAGGAGGCGCGGGGCGAGGAAGGGGAAGACGCGTCGGGCGCCGGCGGCGGGGCGGAGGCGGCGTGGCGGCTGGCGAAGTCCATGGTGGAGAAGTCTATGCGGCGGCGAGCATTAGGGTTCCACCAGTGGAAGGGGAAGAAGGCTCCGGGCGGCGGGGGCTGCGCCGGGGAGTGGCGCGAGTGATTCGCCCCCAGCGCGGCCGATCTGAGCGACGAGATCCCCCACCCGATCCTGGCCGGCGATCGCCCGTTGGGTGGGTCGGTCGGTGCCCCCGCTCTCCGGCGGCGGCGGCGGAGAGATTATCCTCTTCTCGGCTTTGATCGATCGGATTGATTGCGTTTTCCTCCTCTTCTTCTTCGTGCGATCTCGTCTCGTCTCGTCTCAGGTAGAAATCCTTTCTTTGTTTTTTTTTTAATTTAACAAAAACACATGCGCCGGCTTGGCTAATGCCCTTCTCCTTCGTGTTGGTGTCGTGTCGTGTCGTAGCCAGGAAGGAAGGAGAAAGAGAAAGAGTCCCCTCTCCTTGGCTGTATGCCTGTCTCTTTGGGCTTGTTTTTGCCGAGGAAATAAAAATTTTTGAGTATCACATCGGACGTTTCATCGGATGTTGGAAGAGGTTTTCGGATACAAATGAAAAAACTAATTTTAGAACTCGCGGGGAAACCGCGAGACGAATCTTTTGAGCCTAATTAAGCCGTCATTAGTACATGTAGGTTACTGTAGCATTTATGGCTAATCACGGACTAATTAGGCTCAAAAGATTCGTCTCGCGATTTCCACCATAACTATGTAATTAGTTTTTTTTTATCTATATTTAATACTCCATGTAAGTGTCTAAAGATTCGATGTAATATTTTTGGAAAAAAAAATTTTGGAAACTAAACAGGCCCTTTGTCTAGGAGAGACAAAACCTTATTCCTCTCCTATTCACTCAAACTTATGAACAATGTACTCTCCTAATGTAATTTTGATAAATACTCTAGATCTATAAACTTATTTATTGTAGATGGTATATTTGATAAAATTTATTCTAATATAAAGCTGGTGATGGTCGAGGTTTTACCCTTTCATGAGTTGTTCGTCGTTTTATCAGTCGTATAAAAAAGATTTTTGAAACTTACTTTTAAATTGATCTAGATATTTCCCCCTAAAAAAATTGATCTATATATTATTTCATTGTTTTCTTCTTCTTTTTTCCATCCTTGCATGTTAAACCACTAAGAGTAGGTGAAAGTTTGCTTAACTGTTCAATCAATCCATAATTTAAGGGTTTGACCAAATTTCGTTCTAAATGTCAAATATTTATGATGAGAGGGAGTTTTTGGATCATAAATATTTGGCATTTATGTTGTCTTTTAAATATGGTGTTTACTATTCGTCTTATTCAAATATGTAAAAGTACAAGGCACACCAAAAGTATCTTTAGTAATAAACAAGCGGCAAAAAAAAAAGGTACTACCTCAAGAATTATATGGAGTATGTTCAGATTCGCAGTACTTCCATCCGATTCTACGTTCTTATTTGACAGATGTAGTAATTATAATATGGATGGTTAAATTTATGCCTAAAGTCAACCATCAAAGGGTGTACATGGAGCATTATGTTGGTTCATCGCGTTAACCAAGGAGTACATATGGAAATTTGGGCAAACCAAAAGGTACTCCCTCCGTTTCAGAGTCCCTTTGAAACACATGATTGTCAAAAGACGGGAATAGGAAAAATATAGAAATAGATTGTCATGTTCATTGGATTCCTACAGTAGTTGAAAACATAGCAAAGTTTCAAAACTATCGTTTGATAGTCACACATGAAAAAGGTAGGATTTCAAGACACAGGAAGAAGAAAAAAACATGAGCTAAGACATCATGCTAATTTTCTTCCAAAAATTCTCTACAATAGTCCATTATGTACGAATTTCAAAGGAATTGGCAGGAATCAATCCTTTGTTTCAAAGGATCTCATATGATTATTTCCTACAAGGTATACATCCTTTTGAATTCCTATCTTTTTTCCTTTGTTTCAAACGGGGTCTCATATTGTAAGTTATTTTGATTTTTTTCTAAGTTAAACTTATTTAAGTTTGACCAAATTTATAGAAAAATATAGTAGCAATTTTAGTAAAAAAAACAAACATATTATAAAAATATATTCAATGTTAGATTTAATGAAATTAATTTGGTTTTTTAGATGTTGCTAATTCTTTTTATAAATTTAGTTAACTGCGAAAAAAGGTCAAAACGACTTATGATATGAAACGGAGCCATATCATGTTCACTTCAAAAAACAGCAATATAATAGAGATAGAAGAAAGGTGCTTGTCGATGGAGGGTCCGTGCAGAAGCGCAAATATCTGTCCTCTATGATTTGCTCATGTGTCGATGATGAAATTCAGGATGTGTCAACATTTGTCTCATGCATAGCATGCTCTGCATCCACTGCATTCAGGGTTCCAGCCTTTCATTATCAGAGATACTACTTCCTTATGAACCTGTATCTGAACTTTTTGCGAGATACTATACTACTATTAAGATGACAAACTGATCTGATCGGAATAACATGGGCACGACAGCTACAGTATACATACCATTACAGAGTCTTTACGCCACTTGTTCAAGGAAACCTTTTCAAAGTCAAAACAGAAAAGAAAAATAAAAGGTGAAATCCTTCTTCGATCACCCTGTTTGGAACTTAAAGGGTTGAAATTTTGGATGCAGCATTTCACGTCCAGACGAATACGGCCCAGCGTTTCAGAATTCAGAGGGTTAGTTTTCTGCAGCATATTTAATTTACCTCAGATATTCAATTGATGAAACAACATGAATCATGCATGTCAACACCTGCTGACCGCTGAGAACAAAAACAATAACAATAATGTATTCGCACTCTAACACATAAGTTATTCCTCCATCTTAATTATTTATTTTACAGTGTGGAAAACACATCTATCTCGTGGCCGGCCTCAGCCTGGCACTAACATACTATTTATAAGTTGTTGGTAAATCCTCCTCCTGACGAAGAAGAACTAATACTAATGTAGTAATAACCGAGAAGAAGCAAAAAAGATGCATGGAACCTTGGATGCATGGTTCCGATTATTTGCGTGAATGCGCAGGCATTGATCATCCGATCTGGGTTGGGTCCTTCCTAATAACTCAATGGTACAATCATGCCGCATGCATGCGTACGTGGATATTGGCGATTAATGATCCGGGAACGGTACATCCGGGGCGGAGAAGACGGTGGCGGTGGCGGTGGCGGCCGGCGACGACATCACCGGCACGAACGGGGCGGCGTACGCGCAGAGAGCCGGCGGCAGGTCGGAGGCTGGTGCACGCGCGAGCAGTGGGATCTCCGGCGGAATGAAGTGGTGCGTCGTTGGCAGTGGCGGCGGCGGCGGATCGACAACGACGTAGGAGTGGGAGTGGGACGACGGCGGTGGCGGCGCGTGTGCGTGGTGGTGGGAGGTGTTGGTGCAGCTGTCGGCGCTGGAGGAGGAGGAGGAGGAGTCGTGGTGCGAGTGCGAGGCGGCGGTGCGGGCGCTGTCGAGTCCGGTGAGCCTCTGCACGATGGACATGAAGTCGCGTGGGCTCGTGCGGATCACCTTCGGCGAGTGCGTGTATATAATCACTGGCTGCTGCTGCTGCTGCTTGTGTTGCTGGCGCGACGGCGGGCGGTGAGCTGCGGCGGCGGTGGCGGCATTGTTCTTGTTCTTCGTCGTCGTCGTCAGACCGGAGGCGGAGGAGGTGGAAGAGTTGGAGGAGGAGGAGGACGATGCGGCGGCGGGTGGCTGCTTGTGGATGAGGCGGGAGCCCCTGTGGACTTTAAACGGCGGCGCGGTGTTGGTGGCGGGGAGGGGCAGGCGTGGCGAGGTGGGGCTCATTGTTGCCGGTGAGCGGCCGGCGGTGAGACGATCGACGGATGGAGGCGCCGAAGGAGAGGGGCTATACGACTATAAACAGGTGAGTGAATTGCGGGATATTTGGTTGGGTCAAGGTGCGGTGCAGAGCCATAAGCGGCATGCGTGTAGCTCGGACGGACACCTTTGCTTCTCTTCTCCTCTCTTGGTTGCGTCACCACGGTTGCGCTAGCTCTTGCATCTGTGTTGCCATGTCCACCAGCCACCTGCAAAATGCTACTAATCGTTTTCGGCCCCGTGGGTTTTGCCTAAACTTTTCATTTTGTACGTCTAAAGTATGTCGTATAAACTTTATATGCGTAAACGAATCAGTGTCCTCCACCTTGACAAATCATGGAGCAAAATACAAGCGACCAGCAACTATATACTTAGAAACGGACTCGTATAGAGTTTTGGCCCAACATAATTTTATATGGTGAAATTTTAAGGTTCTCCACAGGTCTTCCATCCTGGGCCCCAGGGCGTGGCCTAGGGGTGGAATTTTGAAGTGCTCCAAATAGTACATCGATACATCATATATAGATGGTGGGAAGATTTTAAAAGTGACAATGAAGTGTCAACAGTTTTGTGTTGGGCATGGCACCAAGTTTGAGAATGCAAACTATTCTACCGAATATTGAGAATGCGCTATCATTGAATGGCATCTCCCTGAGACCCAGGTACTGAATCGATTGCCTTTTGATGGTGGGAGGGTAAAATTGTACTCTTGCATGTATGGAGCATGTACAAATGTAGCGCCCGTTCCGTCGTGGCGCCTAGCGGGAAAATTATCTCTTAAAAACCCTAATTGTGAAATTTGCTTCCTTGCTTGTTGTCTAGCGTCCGTGCCATCTCAAGATCTCAAATCCCTGATCTATCGTCGAGTTCAATTCCGAATCCAAATCCTTCCAAATCGAATCCCTCCGCAAAAGTCTATTTTGCCTCCCCAGGGTCGATGGGCTGAATTTCTCTCGGCCCATCTCCCCCTCCCTCCCGGCGCTCTCTCTCTCTCTCTTCCCCCGCTCCGCCCGCGCGCCGCGCGCGCGTGCGCGAGAGCCGCGCCCAGCGCCCCTCCCTCCGCTCCGCCCGCGCGCCGCGCGCGCATGCGCGAGAGCTGTGCCGTCCGCGCCGCCCGGCCCCGCTGCCCTGCCGCGCCTGCAGCCGCGCAGCCGCCCGGCCCCGCAAGCCAGCGCGCGTGCCCGAGCCGCGCCGCTCAAATCCGCCGCGCCTCCCGTTGCTTCCCGCGCGCGCGTGCCGTGGTGGCCGACCGCCTGGTCGCCGCCGTCGTCAGCGCCTGCCCGCGCCTGTCGCCCGTGTCGCCGCTCCGCTCCAAACCGTCCCGCCGTCATCACCGTCGTCATCGCCTCGGCCCCGCCTCTCCGCGCGCAAGCCGCCAAGGGACGGAGGCAGAGCCCTCCTCCCTCTGCCGCGACGCCCCCGCTCCCCTCCTCCTTTTCCCAAAGAAGCAAGGGGCGAGCCCCCCTTTCTCTCCCTCTTTTTCCCCTTTTCCTCCCGCCGGCGTCATCCTCCTCCCTCCGCCCTGTCGCCGATTTGGACGCGAGCGCCGAGCGCCAGCTCGCGTCTTGACCGCCCAAAGTCGGTTCCCAAACCGACATTGCCGCCCTTTAAAGCCCAGGCGCCCTCCCTCTCTTCTCCTCTCGTTGTCTCATCGCCTCCACGCCATTGCCGCCGCCCCCGTGCTCTGTTCGCCGTCGCCGTTCGTCGTTGCGCGTGTCGGAGGAGCCGGCACGAGCAAGGACGCGGAAGGGGACTCCGGGCGCGCCCTCTCCTTCCTCTTCCCCGGCCCGAGGCCGGAGAGATTACTCCCGCGCCGTCGGCCTCTCGTCACTGCGCCCCGCCCGCACGGTAGTGCCTCCCTCCGTTCTTCCTCCTCGCTCCATCTCCCCCCCTTAGTTTTCGGTGGTAGCACGAGTAGCCTCCCCGTAGCTAGCCGGCGCCGCCCCGACCGTTGCCGCCGCTCGCCGTGTGCTCGCCGCCGTCGCCGCCCGAGCTCGGAAGCGCCGCTCGTCGCCGGCCTCGCTCGGCGTAGCTCCGCCCAATCCGACGCCAGCATCGGATTCCCGTAGCCGCGTGGATGCTCTCGCCGCCGGGAATTGGCCCCTCGTGACCTCGTCGCCGTTTTCCCCTTTTCCCGCCGTCGGTTGCCGCCGCCGCGATTCGCCGCCGTCAAGCTCCCTCCGGCGAATCCGAGCCATTGGCTCGTCTCCCCTCGTCACGTGCAACCACCCGGTGTGCTCGCTTTTGCCTGTATCGCCGTGGTTCGCTCACCGCTCGCCGCCGTCGTCCGCCGTCCGTTCCGGCCGGCGTCATCGTCTACCTCCCGCCGGCCCGCGTGGCAGCCACGTAGGCGCCACGTCGGCGCCAGCTCAGCCAAGACCGGGTCGAGCCGACCCCGGTCAGTCCCTCCCCGTGCGCGCGTTCCACCGCGAGCCGTGAGGCTGCGCGTGGGCCCGCCGCATCCGCATCCACCGCGAACCGCGCGCGTGCATCGCGTCCCTCCCCCACCCTAGTGCCGCGCCGCGTGCTCCCTCCGCACGGTGAGCCGAGCCGCTGACAAGCGGGTCCCACCCGAGACCGCGCATGGTGAGCCCGGTCCACCGGCTCTCTCTCTCCTCCCTCCCGCGCGCGCGCGTCTTGGGCCGCTCTGGGCCGCCTTTTGGGCCGGCCGGCCCATTTAGCTCGGCCGAGCCGCCTCCTTTCTCTCGGGCCGCGCCCTCGCCGCCCGAGGGAAGTCTAATTTTCCCCCCTTCTTTTCTTTTCTTTTTCTTTTCCAAAAAGGATTTAATTAAATCCTTTTCCTTTAGACCAAAAATCCAATAATCTTAGAAATTCAATATCTTCCCAACCGTAAATCCGTTTGACTCCGTTCAACTTCCAAAATTCCTCAAATCTCGAGATCTATCTAATGGCACGCTTAGAGATCATTAATAGGGCTTTATTTTTCGCCGTTTGTTGAGTTGTCCCGTTTCGCGTGTAGTTTCGGAGCCCGAAGACCCGCAGTGCGAGGATTTCGAGGATCAAGCTCCAGATCTCGAGCAAGGCAAGCCACCTTTGAACATCTTGAGCCTATATTTGAAATTTAATTATGTTGCTTGAAAAATATTATGCATTGATAGGATCGCACTTAATCTGTTGTCCCGTCTGCAAGGCAGATTGGTAGACCTACCTAAATTGTTGCATTTGATCCTTCCTTTGTTAATTGTGATACCATGTCCCCTTGCAACCATCTAGTTGCGTCTCGATATTCGTGCACCCAGTGCGAGTATCGACGGACGCCTTCAAACTTAAAATCTGAAAAACAACTTGGGTAAAACTTGGGTTTTACAAAAGACTTGGAAAACCCGACACCTGGGTCGGTGCTTGCGAACTAAATGAATTTCCAAAACCGCGGACCGGGGAACGTACCGGGTGTACGGTTTCCCGCTCTTGCACTTAAGGACCGTTTCCTTGGAATTTCATCCAAACATAAGACAAGTACGACCACATGGGTGGAATGGGACACCCCTGGCCGAGTAACTAGCTTATCAGGGGAGCCTTGATGCCGAGAGACATGTGGATTCGCCGGGGTGGTGTCGGGGAGGACCCCTGGGCTTCCTGGCACAGTATGGTCTGGGACCTAACCTGTTGTTGGTCTGAGACCCCTCTCGTCGGTATATGGTAAACCTGTGTCGGCTTTGGAAATGCCTTGTCATGAAAGCTTGGAGGTCTCCCGACGTGGCTGATCCCCACGGGCTGGGTGATCCGGGTTAGTAATGTCGTGTGGGTAAAGTGTACCCCCTCTGCAGAGGTTAACAAACTGTTCGAACAGCCGTGCCCACGGTCATGGGCGAATGTGAGGTGATTCCTAGCGTAGTTTTGTTTAACTGCTGCTTGTGAAATTGCTGTTGTGGAAAGGGGTTCGATGTTTGAAAAATCTGTAGCTGATGGAATCAGCTAGGCCCGGGTGGCCGTTTGAATGTTGTTGGCCCGGGTGGCCGTTTGAAAAGCTGTTGGCCGGGTGCCAACCTCGTTTCAAAATCTAAAGACTGATACATTGCACATACTCCGACCGGACGAGACGCACTGTCTCATCCGTGTCGTTTGAGAAGCACTCACTTAGTTGTTTCAGAAAAGAGTTCAAATAAAATCAATTGCAAAAACACCAGCCTCTCCTTGAAGCCTGCATTAAACACTTATTTCCCCTGGCTTGCTGAGTACTCCCGTACTTACCCTTGCTCTATATAAATAATCCCCCCCAGTTGCTGAAGAAGATGAAGCGGATCCCGCTGACGAGGAGTTCTTCCAGGAGCAAGCCGGCTACGATGAGTTTTAGGGTTTCGCCCTAGTTCCCAAGTCGCGCCTGTGATGTTTGGTCCTAGTCCTGGCTTCCGCTTTCCTTTTTGTAATGCAGTTGTGAGCTCGGGATCTATCCGCAGCCCAACATGACTGTACTCCTACTCTATAATAAAGAGACCTCTGTTGCTGTGATATTCTGTCTTCCTGTGATACCATCACTGTTTCCTGGGACTGGTATCGATTAACAGGTTAATTTGGAGCGTCACGGGCTAGTTCCGGTCGGGACTAGTTCGGGGCGTGACAACAAATTAGAGTGGAACACCTTTCATCCACCGTAATTACCGCCGCAAATCGAGCGATCCTAGACCTAGAAGTGGCAATGACGACGAACCTAGCGTGGCGACCTTGGTAGAGGTGTGTCGATGCGTGAAGCCAGCTCAACTACTGCCCGATTCTAGTACAACAGAGGTAGTGGCCGTGACGGCAATGGAGATCTCTCTGATGGTGAAGGCAGCGGACCGTTGTTGGCGCCTTGAATCTCCCATCCTCCGTTGCCTGCCTCAATGTCCTTCCCCGGTGGTGCCTCAATTACTTATCCTTTGGTGCTCTCTCCATCCTCCTGCAGCCATCCTGTTGGCTCAATGATCTCCCACCTTCATCCCGGGCTCTAGTACAACGTCGTCTCCATCCCTTCCCGAGGTCACTCCTCGATCTCGGGTAATTCTCTAATGTTAGCAATATCACTGAAATTTTCCAAAACTCAGCTATTGAGTTGATGGTTGGCTTGCTTAGCAAAGATATACTCGATTCCTCCTCACTTCTTTTCTTTTCCCTCTTTTCTTTGGTTTCTTGTCCTCACCAAATGATTGGAATGCTATCCATGCCAAACCTGCAACTTCATCCATGGCAGACCTTGATCTTCAACCAAAACAACTTTCATGTCGGCCATGGCATCTAGACTTAGCGTGTGCGCGAGCGCCGACTTAACTTGTTGGACTGTGATGGCCTAGCATCGATGAC